GTACATGTAACAAAAACATATACATTATAACAAGTTTAAAAAACTAGATCCTAAAAGCCACACAGTACATAATTTTATTTACACACACACACACACACACACACAATTGTATTATATAACACTCAAGAAAAGTTGTAACTGTTGGAATAGGAAACAGGTCAATAATGGCCAAAGATTAAGGAAGGGAAGGGAAAAGGGTTACCACAAGGAAAGTCTTTAGAGTGGTAGAACCATGCATTTTTAAAATCACATAGAATTGTTTATTTTAAAATATACAAATGTTATACCACAATAAATCAGGCTTAGATTATATTAAATCAGACTCTCTTTCACTCTTTGTTGACCCCCATCTCCCTTCCTCCTCTATCTGTCAATAATTAAGAAGTATAGTTTTAGCCACTCCAGAGCTGCTTTGGTGGTTCTAGGGTCATCAGGTACCTTATATGTTGTTGCTCAGACAAGATGTTGCTTGTACCTCAGCTATCATATCCAGATTACTGGTAAATAGAGTAAACAAGAAGTCTATACTTCCTTGAAATCCCACAGTGTCCTTTCATTTTTCACCTTGTTGTTCAAATGAAACCAATAGAGATTGCATTAAATCTAGAGATCAATTTGAGAAGATTTGAATTTTTAGTAATACTGACCCTTCAATTGTATCAGTTCATTATATCTTCTCATTTATGTAGTTCTTTCATTTCTCTGAGAAATGTTTTGTGGTTTTCAGTGTACACATAGTTTACACTGATCATATCTTGTTAGAGTTTATACTTATTCATTCTGTTATTTTCATTATTTCGATACCCAACTGTTTGTTGTTAGCCACTAGACAAACATTAATTTATGATTACTGACTTTGTATCCTCTGACCTAACTAAACTTACTAGTTCTGGGAGTATTTTTGTTTCGGAATTTTCTATATAGAGGATGATGTGGTATCTTAATACAGTTTAACTTTTTCTTTCTAATCTGTAAGACTTTCATTTTTTAAATTTCCCTGATTATACTGGTTAGCATCTCCAGTATATAGAAATGATGAGAGCTAGTATCACTATTTTTTTCTCAAGCAGGGGGAAAAACATTTAGCTTTTCTCCATTAAGCATTTCCTGTAGCCTTTTCATAAATATACTGTATTAGATTAAGGAAGTTCCATTCTATTCCTAGATGAGAGATTTTTCCCTTATTTTGTTGAGTATATTTGACATAAAATCATATATATTTAAGGCATACAATATCATTCTTTCAAGTACATATACATTGTGAAATAATTACTACAAGCAAGCTAATTTATATAGCCATCATTTACATACTTAAGAAAAAAAATTTTTTTGAGACAGGTTCTTGCTATATAGTTCAGATTGGCCTCCAGGTTGTAGCAATTCCTCCTGTCTCAACCTTCCTTTGAGTGCTGGGCATACAGGCACGTACCTCGAAATCCTGCTTTAACTTATAGCAATTTTTAATTTTCTCCCTTTAGAAACATTTTAGGATAACACAAGCCAAAAACAACAAAAAAACCTCTTAAACAAAAAGAAATGTGCTCAGAATCTCATTACCAGATACAGATCAAAACCTTTAGGTGGACACTATACTTGATCATTGGTTGGTGTCTCTATACATTAAAGTATTTTTGAAAATAAATAAAATTAGTAATGCCATATATGGTATTTTATAACCTGTTGCTCTACTTTATGTAATGCAGTGGGCACATTTTTTACCTCAGCAAATTCATGTTTACATCATAATCTCTTAATAATGTAATTAATCTCTTTTTTTTTTTTCCTCCCTGTGATTGTTTCCTTTGCTGTGTGGAAGCTTTTTAATTTAATGTAATCCCACTTGTTGGTTTTTTATATTATTTCCTGTGCTATTGAATTGGTATTTAGGAAGTACTTTTCTGTGTCTATGAATTCAAGTGTTTCCCATATGTTATCTTCCAGGAGTTTCAAAATTTTTGTTTTTATATCTAGGTCCTTAATCCATTTTGATTTCCTTGTAGTACAGGGTAAAAGATAGGTGTCTAGTTTCAGTCTTCTACACGTGCATAACTAATTTTTCCAGCACTATTTATTAACGAGGCTCTCTTCTCTTCAATGGGTGTCTCTGGTTCTTTTGTAAAAAATTAGATGGGTGAAGGTGCATGGGGTCATTTCTTTATCTTCTGTTTTTTCTATTGGTCTATGGATTTCTTTATGTACCAGTAACATCCTGTGTAGATAACTTTGGTAATATGCCACTTAACAGTATTAATTCTGTGTCTTTACAAACATGTGAGGCCTTTCCTCTTCTAGTTTTTTTTTTTCAACTGTCTTCATTGTTTTAAAATTTTCATTGTAGAGGTCTTTGAACTCCTTGATTAGGTTGATTCCTAGGTATTTTATTTTTTTAAACTATTGCAAATGGAATTGTTGTTTTCCTGATTTATTTCTCAGCCTATTTTATTGGTGTATATAAGAACTATTATTTTTTAATGTTGATTTTTATCCTGAGAGTTTTTTTATTTTGTTCTTTAAATAACAAATTATATTAGCATTTCCAAATTCTTATTTTCATAAATTGAGATTATAATTTTTTCATTTTAATATATTGATAATAGTGTATTTCTTTTTAGAAGACTTCAAATAAATTATCCAAGATTCAAATTTATAAAAATAAGAAGGGAGGGAAGGGAGAAAGGTAGGAAGAAACAAAGTTAGTATAGTTAATTCTATATTTTTCTTTTAAGCTCTGCATTAGCTAAATGCCACGACAATACATTGTATTGCAATATTTGTTAGAGTCAAAGAATTTTCTAATGTGCCCTCTTGTGCCTTTTTTCTTGATTCATGAGTTATTTAGAAGTGTATTCCTTTATTTGTAAATATTTGGAAAAGATACATTTCCAGATACATTTTTGTTATTGATTGCTTATTTAATTTCATTTTTTGTTAATTTACATACTTTGACTTTTTAGCCATTTTAAATTTGTTTAGATTTGTTTTATGGCCTAGACCATTGCCGGCCTGTCTTAATGAGAGTATTAAGTATACATTTGAAAAGAATGTTCACCCACTTGTTGAATGTTCTATAACTGTTATTTAGCTCACATTGGTCATGTTTTTCAGGATTTTTTATACTTATAGATGGGAAGGGCAGAGGAGTCTACTTTCCTATTAATTACTGAAAGAGGTATCTTAATGTATATAGCTATAATTATGGGTTTGCTATTTTTACCTGTTTCTAAGTTGCTTTTGTATTTCAGTGCTCTGTTAGTAGGGGCAAATATATTTAGACTACTTATGACTCAGTAGACTATTCTGAGATTTTCCTCTTAGCCTCTGGTCATATTCTTTGTTCATCTGAAATCCACCTTGTCTGACATTAGTGGTCATTTCCGGTTTTTTGTTGTTCTTATTTGCATGTACTCTCTTTCTATTGTCCATCTATCCATCTATCCATCCATCCGTCTCTGTTCCCAAGACAGAATCTACTTGAGTCTTGCCTTTACCTAATTCAATCTTAACAGTCTTTGCCTTTTAGTTAGCATTTTAGGCCATTTACAATTAATGTACTTATTGATGAGGTTGGATTTAATACCAGGCATATTGCTGTTTTATGTATTTATCACATTGTATTTCTTATCTTTTCTTGCTTTTAAAAGAACTAAATTTTGCTTACATTTTATTTTCATTATTGCATATTTATTATGCATTAGAGATTGCTCTAGAATTTGTGTATGTTTAGCTAGTCAAAACGTCCCAGTCTTTATGCTGTTATTTTCAGATATATTATTGTCATATGTTTTATTTATTTGGACATACTATAAACCTCACAGTACATAGATGCTATTTTTGCTTTATAGCCTGTTATTTCTGGTACCGGGGATTGAACTCGGGTCCTTGTGTTTGCAAGGCAGGCCACCGAACTGCTGAGCTAAATCCCCAGCCCTATAGCCTGTTATTTCTGGTACCGGGGATTGAACTCGGGTCCTTGTGTTTGCAAGGCAGGCCACCGAACTGCTGAGCTAAATCCCCAGCCCTATAGCCTGTTATTTCTTCGGAGATTTAAGCATTTTTAAAAACATGTCTTTTGTATTTACCTCCGTTTTACCAACACTCATTTCTTTATGAAGATTCAAGTTTCCATTTGTGTCATATTTGTTCTACTTTTAAAACTTTCCTATTTATTATAACATATATTGGATGACAATGTGTTGCCTCAACTGTTTTTCCATCTGGAAAGATATTGGTTTTATTTATATTTTAACTATATTTTCACTGGCTATGGAATGTTGGATTGACTTTTTCATTCAGAACATTGAGGATGTTGTTCCATCTTTTGCTTGCAATAGTTTCTGCCAGAAGTTACTAACCTTAACTTTGTTTTTCTGTACTTTATGCTTTTGTTCTACCTTTCCTTGGTGGCAGTACATCTTTCTCTAAGAGTGTGGGTAGGAATAGTCTGACCCTGCTCTAGCCCTAACTTCAGTGTCTTGGTAAAAGCTTAGGAACAGACATCTGTACTTTTATTCTTCTCCTGAGTAATCAGATCTCAGGTCCTACAACAGAGCATCATTCTTTTTTAGTGACTCTTTTTCAATGTGTTTTATGATATATGTTATAGAACAGTACATTAACACATGTAAGTAATTTACAGTTTAGTATGTGTACACAGGGGCCATATGTTCAACAGTTTTACTGATCAAGAGTATAATTAGAAGATTTTAAGGACCGGGAATTTAGCTCAGTGGTTCTGTTGCCTGCCTTGCAAGCTGAAGTTCCCGAGTTTGATCCCCGGTACCAAAAACAAAACAAAGACGAGTTTGGAGGCCACCGTTTTAGAGAACATCTCTATTTATAATAGATTTGAACTAGAATTTGCCACTTGCTTTTTTTATTTGATGACAGCATAGTTCTCATAGTTCATTTTATTTCTATGAGTAACTAAGTGAAGAATGTTTTGTAGTTTTATTTTTAAATTAATTTTATTTTTAACTTTTGTGTACCTCATTTATTCTCCAGAGGGGTGCATCATTTCTGGAAGCATTGCAGTACCAGGTCAATGCGTGGAGTGGATGGAGCAAGCTCCTATACCAGCTCCCAGCTCCAAAAATCCATTTAATATATTGTCCTCGGATAGAGGATGTATCAGATATTAAACTGATAAGAACGGATCCTGCACTTGATCTTAGCCAAAAGGCTGAGAAGCAATTTTTAAAATTAATTTTAAATGAGTTATTTATTAGAATAATAAAAATCATTTACTTTTAAAAATTGCTTCTATATAACATTTTAAAAATTTATTTATTTTTGGTGTTTTGAGATAAGATCTCATTATATAATTCAGGTTGACCTAGAACTCGCAATATAGTGTGGGCTGGCTTCACACTCAAGGACTCCTGCATTAGCTTCCTGAGTGCTGGGACTATAGGCTTGTGCCACTATGCTTGGCTAAAATTTATTTTTTAGCTGATACATGATGACATAAAATTGTGCATATTAGTAGGATATCATTATTTTACAATAATTATTAGAAATGTATATTTAAAAGATGAGGCAATCTTTATAGACTGTTCTCTATTTTAGACTTCTTTCTTTTTATAAATGAAAATCCCCTTTTTTGTTCTAGGACTGTGAGAATATGGGAGGTTGAAAATCCGAAGAAACAAAAAAGTGTGTTTAAACCACGGACAATGCAGGGTAAAAAAGTCATACCCACTACATGCACGTATAGTAGAGATGGAAACCTCATAGCAGCTGCCTGCCAGAATGGAAGCATACAGATCTGGGATCGAAATTTGACTGTAAGTAATGGACCTTTAAATCCGTACAACTGCCTTACATGTATGTAGTGACGAACATCATGTTAACATATTATAAAGGTCTGTTTTCTGAATTCAAACCTAATTTAAACTTTAATGTTAGTTGATCAAACATTGGGGTTTTTGCAGTAAACGGCACTTCAGCAAACATTCCAGCTGGGTGTTTTCCAGTATGTATTAAATTTTGATCTTAAATTTCCGCTTTTAATACAAAATTTGAAGAATGGAGTGCAGTTTATAGCACCTCAGTTTAATTTTGAAAAAGAAGGGTCTGAAAATAATATGAAACAAGACTAAGCAGGAGGAGAGAACTAGAAAAGATATAGGAAAACCACAAAACGTCTAAGATCATCTATCAGTTGTGCAGTTACTTAAGTAGTAATCCCAATGTTTTAATTTAATACTGTATCATACCCCCCAATACTGTATTATATCCCATGTCAACAACTTTCAGGTTTTTCCTTTCATTGTAGGTTATTATTAAAAATAATAATTTTTAGAAGTGAAGGGGATCATAGAATTCTTAGAAATAAGGAATATAAAGGATTTGACTAATTCTGTGAATTATCGGTAAGGATTAATTCTGTTATGTAGACGCTAAAATAAAAATGTTTGATAAGTAATGTGAGCCTTCATTACCGTAATTTGTATTCTTTAGCAGAAGTTTTTGGTCAAATTATAATTTAATAAATACTTATTGTGTACTATATATATATTCCAGGGATGTCTTAAGCACCAAGAGTACTTATTGAAAATTCGTGCTCTTAGGGAGTTTACATTCTAGCTTTTAAAAAATATAAAAATTTTATTCTGTTCAGCTAACTTTGTCCCTCAAATGTTTATGTTTTGCATGGGACCCTAGGAAACGTTAGTTGTCTTTTCAGGCAGTTAAATAAAAGTTGGTTGTACTGGGATAAGGTAAAAAGTAATGATGGGGCAAAAAGTTCATGCTGATAATGCTGGAAATATTTTTGGCATTTTCTGTTTGTCAGATCTTTTTATTTCTGTTTTCATCGCCTCTGTAAACCTCATAAAGCTTCATAACAGCACAGAGGTTTTAAAACTTCTTTGAATTGTAAACCGAGTTTTAACCAAGCAATAAATTTTTTAGTAACTGGCTTTCATCCTCTCTGAGTGCTGCTGATTTAAACACAAAAATTCTAAAACATGCAGTTTTCTTGTGTAGCGGTAATAGTTTTGTTTTTGGTATAAGACATATATATGCCCTTTTCTTAGGACCCATATGCTTTTACAGAGTAGTTTTTTAAGATTGGCCTTGCCTGCCTTGAAATAGCAAATATCTTCTGCTTCCAGTAGGTGTTTGTTTTTTTGTTTGCTTTTTTTAGACAAGGCTTCACTGTGTACTTTAGGCTGGCCTTGAACCCACTTTGTAGCCCAGGTTGGCCTTGAACTTGTGATGGCCCTCCTGCCTCAGTCCCCTACGCGCTGGGACTGCAGGCATAACTACCAGGTCTGGTGTATTTCCAGTTTTGTGGAAAATAAAACCGTATGAATGCAGTTCTCAAAAAATATCTCCTCAGGTATTCTACTAAGCACAGTCTTTGATTCTGTTCTGTTGGAATTAAATAATGCATAGATACATAGTATATTGTATCACATCTCATTTGTTCTGTTTTATTCATATTTTTACATTTGCATACTAATGTATGTCAACAGAAAATAAACAAACCTTGCCAGCAGGAAACACAACCTATTTAAAAACATTTTTTTAAAATGTGGAACTGTTATTTCAGCAATTGAAAGTCATCTACAGGGAAATACTTATCTGAAAAGTAAGAAAGCCTAATAGCAGCAGCTTTTCCTTGCAGGAGCCAAACGGTGACATGGTAGATTATGTCTAATTCATGCTTTATGATGATCAAGTAAAGCTATCATAATTGCTACGTTTAATCATAAAATTCTCACTTGATGAACTTGAACTTTAGCAAATTATATGAAACATTTTTTCCTTAGAGATAAAATATATCTACTAATGATAATTTCCTGTATTCTCAAGATCTACCTTTACTGTAGAATTAATGCTGGTCAGTGTGCTAGCTACTTGCCACATTTCACTATTTTAAATAAATTTCTATTTGGAAGAAAATACAATTAAAATTTCAGTTCCTCGGTCACAGCAGGCATCCCTTTTTTGGTAGTACTAGGGACTGAATCAAGGACCTTCCATTGAGCTACATGCCAAATCTCTTTTAAAAACAAATTTTTTAAAAAAAATTCTGAGACAAGAGTCTTATTAAGCCACTAAGTTGTCCAGGCTGATACTGAACTTATGATCCTCCTTCCCCAGTCTTCCAGAATGCTAAGATTACATAGCCACTTTTTGAGTGCTCAATAGCCTCATGTGATTAATGGCTGCTTACTGGACAACAGACATATGCAATATTTTCATCACTGCAGAAAGTTCTAGTGAACATTATTGCTCCAGAGTAGTTATTTGCTCAAGGTGTTTTCTTTAACATAGGTGATTGGAGGGAATAATATTTGAGTTTTGGTTTAGCAGTAGGCACTTCCAACAACTTGATCCACTCTCCAGCTCACTGCCTCCTACTGATGCTTTGGCCTTCTACCTCTGACTAAGCTGTAGGACTGTCTCTTTGTAGAAATCACCACATTCTACAGTAACTTACCAGAACCTCCGGCCTGCTAGATACTGCAGGGTAATTGCTGTAGTTCAGCAGCTGGCCAGTCCACTCTTCAGCTATCTGAAAGAGTGAACCAGAGAAAGTTGATGCAAGGGTTACATAGTAGTCACATCAGAGATAGATTCCCATCAGACCAGGCCCCTAGTGAAGGAGAACAGCTATGAAGGAAAGAGAATTCAGGGACAGTTACTAGTGGTAGTTACATCTAGCACACCACAAATCTTTCAGTATCTTCAGTTGGTGCTAGCTAACCCATGTTAAAATATTGCTTTATCCTCTTTGACACCTTCTTCTTTATTAATGCACATATACACAAAGTTACAGATATTGATTGTATATAGAGGAAATTTGCAATCAGCATTTTCATTGAAAGCATAAAGTAGACTACCTTACAAATGAATATAGTTCTAATTCTTTGCTTTTAAAATTCATTGCTTTTAACTTTCTTTTATTTAAATGAAACTATATAGTTTTACATGTAATGTATATAATTTTTTCCAAGTTTTTTTTTCTCATTGAGTATATGTAATTTTTAGGTATACACTACAGTTACATTCATCATTGGGATCTTGTACCTTTACATGATGTAACTTGGTTCTTATTTTTTCCCTATACCCCTGCTCTCCCTTCACCCCCTCCACCCTTCCCTACTTACAAAGACTTTGATTCCATATTTTTCTTTTACTTTTCCCTTCTTTCCTTTCCCCTAACCTTCCCATTTCCCTTACTCCTTTAGCCCTTTTCCTCCTATTTCACATTATCAATTATACAATTTGGACCTTATTTACACTGTTGGCTTCTCACACCAGAGAAACTATTCGGTATTTATGCATGTGTCCTACTTATCTCATTTAAAGAGTATGGCCTCAATGTGCGTCCATTTTCCTATAAATGACTCTAGTTTCTCATTCTTTATGGCTGAGTAGTACTCCATTTCATAGAAAAACCATATCTTCTTTATCCGGTCTTCAATTGATGTGCATTTGGGCTGTTTCCAAGATTTAGCTATTACAAACTGTGCCACTGTAAACATGGGTGTGCTGTGGTATGATTCTTTTAATTCTTTTGGAAAGATACCCAGCAGACGGATAGCTGGATTAAATGGACCCTCTAATTCTAGTTTTTTCAGGTATCTCCATATTGATTTCCATAGTGGTTGCACCAGTCTGCACTCCCACCAAAAATGGAAAAGGGTTCCTTTTTCCCCACCACCCCACCAGCATTTGTTGTTGGTTGATTTCTTGATAGCAGCCATTCTTTGTGGGGTGAGGTGGAATCTCAGTGTTGTTTTCATCTGTGCCTCTCAAATGACTAGTGACGGTGAACATTTTTTCATATATTTACTTGATGCTTTTACTTCTTTGTTTGAGAAATGTCTGTTCATTTCAGATGCCCATTTTTTAATTGGGTCTTTGTATTTGGGGGGCCTGATTTTTTTGAGTTCTTTATATATATTCTAGAAGTAGACCTTTGTCTGAGAACAGCTTTTAAAATTTTTTTCCCAAATTGTAGGTTGTATCTTAGTTCCGTTGATGGTTTCTCTTGCAGTGCAGAAGCTTTTTAATAAGATGAGATACTAGTTATTTATTCTTTGTGCTAGTTCCTGTGCAACTGAGGATTTGTTCATAAAGTCTTTTCCTATACTGATGTCTCTGAGAGTTCTACCTAAGTTATCGTCTACCAAGTTTAGTGTTTCTGTTTTAGTATTTAGATCTTTAATCCACTTGGATTTTAGTTTAGTGCATGCTGAAATCTAGGGGTCTAGTTTTAATCTTTGGCAGGTAAAAAATCCAGTCTTTGTAACACAGTTTATTGAAGAGGCTATCTTTCCTCCACTGAGGCTGGTTGGCGCCTTTGTCAAAGATGAGATAGCTGAGTATATCTGGAGTTGTTTCTGTATCTTCTGATCTATTCCACTGATCTTCGGGTCTGTCTCTTTGCCAGTACAATGCTGTATTTATCACAGTGGCTTTGTAATACAGTTTCAAATTGGAGATTGTGATATACCCTGTCACGTCTCTGGTGCCTAGAATTGCTTTTGCTATTCTACTTCTCTTCTTGTTCCAAATGAATTTTTCTATTGTTTTCTCTAGTTTTGTGAAATATACTGTTGGAATTTCTTTTTTGTTTGTTTGTTTGTTTGTTTTGTTTGTTTTGGTACCAGGGATCAAACTCAGGACCTTGTGCTTGAGAGGCAGGTGGTGATACCAGTGAGCTAAATCTCTGGCCTGACTGTTGGAATTTCAATTGGGATTGCATTAATTTGTATAGTAGTTTTGGTAGTATGGCCATTTTCACTATGTTGATTCTTCTTACCCG